ACACACACACACACACACACACACACACACACAAAACAAACATAAACACACACATACACGCACTACAGACACAAACATAGACACACACACACACGCACACAGACACAGACACAGACACAGACACACACACACATACATATATATATATATACTATATACATGTAGAAGTCAAGCGATGCGTGAGGCGTTATGAGGTGCAATATAGGCACATACTGTTCTAAGGCGGACTGCTGTTCCATTATCTCCTGCAAACTCAGTGTCTGGTTTCCAGCAAATCCTGCAATGAGGGGACAATAATAAATGTGGCACTTGAGTGTAAAAATAATAGGTCAGCATTTTATGTCACTTGTCTTTACGTGCATGGTAGTAGCGAGAATGAGGCTGGGGAAACTACCGTCTACTCGAATGAAAGATAAACTCCATCGCCAAGACACGTATACAAAATATGAGGGATGTACTAGGGTAATAGGCCTTCAGAAGAGTGATAACCACCTCCATATAATAAAATTACAGACAGTGGATAGTCACGACTGAGTCGTGGCCTATCCTCCTCTCACACGCATATACGAGCTGAGGGTTACTTTGGGATAAGGTACATGTTTTTGCATACCTGGATGGTGCCACTGCATATATACTCCGTCTTCCATGTCGTACAGTTCCGCCGCCTCGTTGAAGCACACCTGTCAGAACATTACAGCAGAAGACTATCAGCTACCAGCCAGAGTTCAGTTTAAAGAAAAAATCGTACCAATGAATACGCGGTATTCACTTGGTAGCAATCAGTGTGAAGATGGGCAAATCGTGCAGTATTCATCTATTATCAGCACAAAAGTTCAGGTAAACGTACGAGGACAGCGTGTACGGATACGTGTGTATAAGCTACTAACCACTCGATCAGACGCAGGAAACTCGTCCTTGGCGTTGTAGCGCAGATTGAAGGTAGCCCAATTGTTGACGCCTTGGTCGGGTGAGAGCCGCTTAGTCAGTGTTCCGCTGAAGAGAACTTCCGTATCCTCGTCATCGTCATTGGTGACTTGCCACACCACCTTTATCACGTTAAGCGGGTGAAAGGTGGCCAAGTTTGCTATAACTACTTATTTAAAAGTGTAAAGTGGGTGGATGTATGGACATGTAGTGTTGTATAGCCGACTGCGTATTGCCAGGTATATCTGCTGCACTGGTATGGGTCAGTGCGGAGACGTACACAGGGTTGCATCTGGGATGTAGGCCAAACTAAGCCTATATACCACTTGAAACGTAATGAAATCGACAATCAATAGCAACTGGATTAGATCAGATTATACCAGCCACTATTATTGGACCATATGACAGTACAAATAGAGGGAGACTCGGATAATAATGTCTATCGTGTGCGATGTTGCTGGACATCTACACTTAGAGATAGCTCCACTGGACCACAAGATTTGCCCTATATTTGCAGTACAGATTCTGAATTACAATTGAGAGAACTCGGTGCCTATAAATAAAGACATGTGGCACAGAATACTGAAGTCGTGGTGGTATAACGGTGATGGTCGCTCCACAAATAGCTGAAAACACACTATAACTGTATAAAGCTAACTGTTGTTGACCACACAAAATACGAGCTCAATTATTGTCTATACAGCTGCTTTGAAAAAAATATTGTACCTCCAACTTGGCACCTTCTTTTATCTTTGCACCCAAATCCAAAGCGCTTTCGGTCCCTTTCGCGTTCTTCGTGATTTCAACCGGCACCTTATTGTCTGCTATAGGCTCATCTTCCACCCTCACTTCCTTAAGCTTTTCACCGGTTTCCGTCGTATTTAGATCTACCGGTACATTGTCGAGGTCAACAGGTTCAGTCTTAGCTTTCTTCTCAGCATGGCCGCTCTCAGAGACCACCGCTTGAACCACATCATCGTCGTTGTACGGGCGCTTGTTCGTACTACTCTTGGGAGGGTCAACTGCCTTTGCACTGGTGCCACTTTTGTCGTCAATGGACACCAGGGCCTCCTCCGTGGTACTAATCATTTTCTCTACAGTTCCGTCGACTTCTGGTTTCGCTTCAGCTGCGGTTGGATTAGTACCACTGTCTACGGTGGCACTCAAAGAGCTTAATTGCTCAACTGAATCGGCAACCCCATCCGCCTTAACACGTTGCATTTGAGCTGTATGTGAGTGGTCGTCCTTGATCGAAACGGAATCGGTTTGCTGTCGAGGTTCCGTCTGATTACTGCGGACTGCAGAATGGTCGTCGCCACTCATAGTAATACCTTTGTGTACTAACACAGGGGTTACGTGTATATTATAAACTTTACGCGTGAATGTGTGTGGGTAGGTCTGTTTGTATGTATATACACGTATGTATATCTACCTGTACAAGTATGTGTGTGGAGTTACGCATGTGCGAGCGTCAATAAACGCTACTATATGCGCGCCGTACACTACTTCGACTGAGGTACACGTAAGTGATCACCAACAAGCTCACCTCGACACACTAATACATACAAACACACTGTGAATGAGTTAATACACGTAAGTACTAAATACATACGCTCCAACTTCCAAGCGCTTTTTGTGAAATAAATATTTATAGGCAAATAAAACTACAATCAGTGAAGTCTGATGAAGTGATTTCCACAAAAAGGGCGGGCTTTTCTAAATATAGACAATGGCGTCGTTTTCAGGGGGCCCGGGGGGCCGGGGCAGGTCTCATAACGTAAAGCGTAATTACGTTTAAAATCATTTAGTAAACGTGAAAGCGTAGTACGTTTACGCTATGAGCCTTACGTCTATATTCTCACGAATATGGATTTTGGCTCAATATAGAATATCGAATTTTCCAGCTTCATCCCAAATCTTGACGAGCGCAAGTCAAGGCGCGAGCGTAAGATCTGGACTAGTGTCTAGCAAAGAAATATTAGTCCTCTAGTAAATATAGTGAACAACTCCAGTGAGATGGTCCGTCAGACTGACAAGGTCAGAGCAGACCACTTTACAAAACTTAGAAATGCAGGAAATAAGACGGTACTCAACTGTATCTACTGCAAGAAAGATTTTGAATGATCCAACGCAAAAGCTCTTCATGTGCATATCGG